TTTTCTTCATTTAAATTATTACTCATTATTTTGTTTATAATACAAGCTAAGTGAAACTCTGAAACTGACTAAACACACAAAAAAATCAAGTCTTGGGTTAAAAAATTTACCACCTATTATTTAAGGCAGTTAGTCTAAACTTAGTTCTAACACGTTCCTGAACCAATAAATAAGTCATTCAAGGCGAAGTTTCCTTGAACTTTCAGTGAAAAATGTACAGTTAAAGAATGGAAATAAAATATATATATATATGTTCAAAAGATTCCATTGACACTACTGCTTTCTCTGCTAATAATCATCATCTCATGTGAGTTTGATATGCTCTAGAAGAGTAAGAAAAAGTTCTTTTAAATTTCATGATAGGTTTAATTAGGTAATTGCAGGGGGGAAAAAACCATTAAAACAAATTCTTAAGATATCATCTGGTATGTCCAATTACATGGGTATGATGTAACAAAAGACAGTTACAAACCTGTATATGCATATTTACATTATAAATTCAAACTATCAAGCTAGTTAACTATACATAAGGAGATACATTATAACATGAGTTAAACACTTTTTCATTGCTTATTAGAAAGAATGCAGTCAAGCTTTTAATGGAAATAATATACAAGTGAGGCACTTTTGAGGTCAAGAATAGAAAGCAAATGACATTATATACTGGCAATGTTCACAAAAATCTATGTGTATCTTTAATACAAATGTTTACCAACTAGATTATTCTTGAAAATTTTCAAAACTAACAATGTATGCAATTTAAGCTTTCAGGAACAATGGCTGACATTGATCAGTGTACCAAAGCATATGAAAGTTTTATAACCACCTGGCTGCTAGGCAAACAGTACCTTAATACCTTAAAGCCCTTTTATTTATTTATTTGGTTTATATAAATTACCTCAGGTTGTGGTTTTTTTTTTTTTTTTAATGTATGACTTACTGCAAAACACCTTATGGTGTTATCATCATCATTGCTTACAGGCCATTTTTTTCTCTTAGTGCAACAATAATGCAAGTTTCCAGTGCTTTTCCTTATATTTAGAAATGTGACTCATGAAGATCAAATCAAGAATGAGAAAAATATTTAGTAAAGAACCTGTGTTTTTCATAAGGTTAACTAAAGTTTTGAAATTTTTTTTGTACAAAAATGTTACACCTGCTTGATGGACTTTTAGGCTAAGATTAAAAATCCAATCTTAAATACCTATTTCATACCCAAGTTAAGTTTTGAACAAAAGAAACATTCTTAAGATTTTTTAAATTGTCCATCTGGAGGAAGGTACCCGTTTCCTGTGCTCTGGAGACTTCTATCAATATGAAGAAACTCTGTACCATTCAATTAAGGGAGGGGAGGGAGGAGGAAAAAAGAAAAGGCAAGACTTACCCAAGGTATCAGATGGCACTATACACATGAATTAAAAGTGCATTTTGTATTACAGGCAGTCCCCAGGTTATTTCTTACCCCTACTGGCAACAAATTCTCCATCACAAGCACCTTTACTTGCTGTACATGCAGCTTTTTAATCACTGAAAAGGCTTTTCTCTTGCACTAAAGTAAGGCTAAATAAGAAGCGTACGTACCTGTTCTGACTGACCTAGAAATTTTAAAGACACAGCTAGAAACGGATCTTGTCCGTACCCTGGGGACTGACTGCAGTTCAAAAGCTCGTTATAGGCACTGCTGAATAATAACCAATGAAAATAGGTAGTTTCAAGTTATTCCCTTTAGATTTTAAATCCTACCTTGATATCATCTCAGAAACATATACACACATTCTTTCTGAAGTTGTCATGATGAACTATAGCTTATTATTTTAAAAAAGTCTCCCTGACTGGTAATGGGAGAAAAAGTAAGAATACCATTTTGGTAATGGCTTTTGAAAAACAAAACCAAAAAACAAAACAAAACAAAACCCCAAATTCCAAACTCATTCTAAAAATGTATCAGCATGTCTGTAAAGTATGACTGCCAGTTCTAAATATCTATAAATATTTTAAAACTGGATTTGTAAGAAAAAAGTGCTTAAATCTTTGAGCAACCAAGACACATTAGGGAAAAGAATAATTTTACATTCCCTTTGAGATATTTCTTACTCCTGGTTTCCCCATAGGAGGGGGGCCACCACGTTAATAGCCCTTTACTGGTAGTAGTGATGAACGCTGTAAGCTCCCTCGAGACCTCTCATCTCTCTGGTCTGTAAATCATCCAGTAGGTGGTGCTGAAGAACCACAGCTCCTACTTCCTCAGCCATCAAGCCAGAACCATCATCGAAGCGTTATCAATTATGAATATACCAGGTCATCAGACCAGAGCAACGTCTTTTTTGTCATGTCATCCAGATGATTTCATTTTGAATATTCACTATTACTTAAGCAGTTTTGCTCAGCCATTTGTTTATACTATCAGATTAAAAACAAAGAGGAGAAAGGTTGAGGAAAAGCTAATTGGCAGTGCCAAATCTGTATGGAGAAAGAGGAAATGTTCCGTAACATACCTATATGTGTTTAAGAATGAAAGAATTTGTTTTCACACAAGAATTCTAATTTACTCAAGAAAAATTTCCACAAAGAGATTCAGAAGACATGTATCATCAGTTAGTCTTCTAGACTAATTGGGAAAATGGTGTGTTAACTATAAAGATCCAAGATGAAATAAAAATCATTTCATCATCATAGTTTTTAATGAAGAAAGTTGTTTAAATTTGTAAAGGAAAAAATGGGGATGGGACGGCAAAATCTTAGCAGCAAAGTGGTTAAACAAATTGAAATTATTAATGCACAAACATTAAAATATTAAAGCATGTATGTTGCATATAAAATACAGTACAGAACCAGGAGTTGCACTATACAGATTAGTGCTTAACAGAAGAAATGATTAAATTTGTTCTTCCCATATATACAGTTATTTCCACAGCATTTTCCTATATAGCCAGCAAGTTATTTTCTTCAGTTATTCACACCTTGCTCAAATCTGAACCAGAAACTCAGCACTTAACGAATATGAAAATTCATTCACAAGAAAAAAGAAGAATATTTCCATTTCACCAATAAAAAGGAATTTTGAAAGTTAACAGTCTATTCTAGGAAACCAAGTTTAGCTGGAAACTTCAGGGATGAAGATCATCTGTTATAGCAGCGTTCAAATATATAAACAGTAAAAATAAGAATTAAAACGGCTGCTACAGTGTCATGTTTTGGATTTAGTTCATCCAACTGGTTTTTAGTACAAAACTAGAAATAACCTCTTCTTCATAACATCTATAGTTATCAATATATTTTTCTTCTTTTCAATGTGAAATAATACTTCAAGATGATCTATATACACAATGTTGTCAGTTCAAGCTGTCATATAAATATAAATGCTTTCTTAAAAAAAGTATCTTACAGACAGATAGTGTTATATACATTGTTCAGTTTGATCTGAGGCAAAAGAACACTAACACAAGTGTGATATGTAAAAAGAAAGATACATAATGACATTTAAAAACTTGCATAGAAAACGAGCTTTTAAATGGTAGTGTGATTTTAATTTTCATCACTCTGAAACTTTAGGCCATTAAAAAAAGGCACACTTCTCAACCATATCCCTCTAAGGGAATGTTCTCAAAGAACCCCTTACTTGGTTAGAGTTTTAATGTAACAGTTTAAAAAAAAAAAAAGACAACTTGACCCTGAAGTACTTTAAACAATCTACTGTAACATTTATCCAACTAGGTTGTAAATTAAACATCCAGTAATACAATGCTCTGCAGAAGAAATAAATATGTACAAGATATTTCATTCACAATGTTGGATTAAATACTTTCATGTGAGAGTTTTGAGCATATTTTAACATAATTTTGCTCTTGGCCAGTTTAAAAATAAAATGCGACTGAGCAAAGTTATCACTGTTATGTGAATAATAAGCACTGAGGATTAAGCTAAAAAATTAGTAACACAGCTGAACATATCCTGGTTTAGCAGAATGATAAATAGAGCTCTCAGGACATGGTTTTAAAACTATCCAGTTACAACCTTTTGGCTTATAAAACATTTGTAAATGCAGTAAAATATTTTGAAGGAGGAAACTCTGAAAGAAAACAACTTGCTGGTTGAATACCACAAAACAACCAAAAATCTCACTTTTTTTCTATGTTTACTCAGTCTCTTTTTATATAAAAATAAGTGTTACATTCCCATCAGAACATTAGACAATTACATCTGTGCTTTAAAAAAAGTTGGTCACTCAAGGCTATTAGAGTATTTTAAAGATTTTTAGATTACCAGAATGTACAGATATAACTCAATATAAACTGTAGCCAAAGGGAAATGAGGATGAAAATATCAACTCATTCACATGGAATAAAAAATGTTATTAACTAGATGATGAGTTAAATATTCAAAATATCATGGAATGTGACAGTAGATATACATGTATCTACTTCAGAACTAGGAAGTGGAAGAGAAGTTTAACGTGTAATAATTCGTACCTTACATTTAGTTAAATATAAATATTTGTTATTTATACATAAAACTGCTTCCAAAAAACAACCAATAAATGATTTAGTTGTATTTGTTTTACTTCTTATAATTTCCAAGTGTTAACTTTTCTTAGATTGAAATCAACTGTCCCCTAGTGTACATTTAGTTCATGTCCTAATGAATTCAAATCTTTAAAAGTCCCATCACCTAATGCATAAATATACAAAAATGCCAAAAATCAAATGCCTTTTAGTTGGATCCTATTTTTATGCTGACTTTTTATAACCATTAACCAGAAATGGTTTCCTTTTGCAAGTACTTGTTACAACCTGTAACAGAACATGCCATGCACTGAAGGGGAAAAGTTAGGCATGGCTAGCATTTGTGAAATGCCAAGAACTGATAAGTTCTGCTTCTTCCACGTGTGGCCCCAATGATACCAGGCAAGATTCCATGATGCTTGCCAGAAGCTTCCACAAATCCAAGTTAGCTAATTCCTGGAAACAAAGACTTTAAGCTCCTTTTGGCACTGGATCATTTCATCCAGCAGCTTTATGTTTCCCACCACAGCACCCACATGCCTCACCACAGCGATGGCACATTCTCAAAGGGACATAGCAGCACATACATGGTACAATGAAAGACAAAGCTACCAGGGCTAACCATCGTAAGCAGAACTTGTCATCGCTAGTGTCACATGAACAGGGATCAGAAAAATCTCCCTCTGAGTCTGACATACAATGATACAACATGCTCTCTGCACAGAGCATGCAACTAACTTGATATATGCATCTTTTAATAGGGTCTGGAGCATCCTGACATTTCCCCCTGCCATTTTCTTCATGATTAAACCTTTCCTGGCAGTATACGCAGCGAGAACGTTCACCATCCTCTTTTCTTCGTTTTGACTTCTTAAATTTCAACGAGGAAGGCTGTGACTTAAATACCACAGAGTCTTTGAGTGAACTCAACTTAGTCTCATCCCCACAGGAGTACAGATAGTCTGGTTTTTTACTGTCTGGTTTTGAGAACTGAATATTGGAGTCAGTATCATCTCTGTCCAAGTCATTTTTCCACATATCAGGATGTCTGTAGTCTGCATAGCGACGAATTAAGATATCACGAGGGTTTATTCTGACAATCTCATCCTCGTCTTGAAAACTGACATGTCTGATTGATTTCAATGGAACCTAGAAATGAAAGAGATGAAAACTGCAATAAGGACATACATGTTTACAGCTTGGCTGTGTGGAAAGTTCCTGAAAACGACTTAACATATCACACGTATTACACACCTAAGTAGCAAATTAAGTCTCTGGGAGTATAGCTAAAATCAAAATGAGCTTTCCCTTCATCCATAGAAGTGGGTTTCTAGTAGTCAAGTTCATATCTCCCAGTCCCTGGACACAGTTATTAATAAGAACCTGACTCATGTTGGGGTGAATTTCTATTCTAGACATTCGGAATCAAGACCAAAGTAAATTCCATGTCTAGCTAAAGGTGGGGTGATGGATGCAATCCATTAAATCAACAATATGTAATTCCTACTGGTTCTATCTGGTGGTAAACAAGTCCCTAGAATCAAACCAGAGGCAGGGCAGAGTTTGTGTTAAGCTATGTTTCACTTACTTTGGAATGTTAAAATTTCATCACTTAATGCATATTTTAAATTGTTTTCTTCTTCAGAAGCTTGACAAATTCAGAAATTGATTCCAGGGCCAAGATGTCATAGGTTATTAATACTATACTGTGAATAAAAACATTTCAACTTTCATTCTAAATAACAGGGCTTCATAAGAATATACACAACAAATCTATACACTGCACATCCTTCTAGTGTGATATGGTAAATCAGGATTTTTCACCTATATGGTAATGAGCTGTACTTCTTACCAGAAGAGAAACTGAAGGTACTTACCCTGTTTTGGGACTTTAGGCTTCCACATTCCTTGGACGTTTGCCGTTGGACATATTCCATACCTCTGCTCTGAATGTCTTGGCCTCGCTGACCAAATGTTATCTAAAAAACGAACAATTTCTACTTGTGATAAAAGAATGAATTTCTTCTTACATTTAATCAAACCACAGACAATGTACATTCCAAATACTTCAGTCTATTTTCAAAATGGTTGTAATAAAAAGTATTATTTGAGCTACTCTTTACAAAACAAAACAAAACTTTTCTTATACATATAAAATTAAGCTTAAAAAGTAATACATAACCAAAAAGTGGAAATAATTCAAATGTCCATCAACCGGTGAAGAGAGAAACAAACTGCGGTCTAGCCATACAACAGAGTATCTTTCAGCCATAAAAAGGAATGAAATGGTAAACCAAGACACAACATGGATAAACCATGTAACACTAAACTAAGTGAAGGAAGCCAGAGAAAAGGCCACATATTATATGAGTTTATTTAAACAAAATGTCTGTAATAGGCATATCCATAGACATAGAAAATAGATTAGAGGTAGCAGGGATTGGTCAAGGAGGAATAGGAATGGGCTTTCTTCCTGGGGTGATAAAAAATGTTCGGGAATTAGAAAAGTGATGGCTGCACAACCATGGGAATATACTAAAAGCCACTGAATTAGACACTTTTAAAGGGCGATTTTTATAGCACATAAATTGTATCTCAATTAAAAAACAATGATAGGGACATGTGAATCTTGGAATATTTATTTGTTTTCTGATTGGAAAGCCCATTTTGGAGTGAGATTATAGTTAGAAATTTTCAGTGTTTAATTTTTTAAATTCTATAATGAAAAAAAAATTAAATATACACAGAAGGAAAGAATAACATAATGAATCTCTACCTATTTATTATTTAGTGGTAACAATTATCAACATCTTGGCTATCTTCTTTCTTCTTAACTATTTTTCTGAGGCATTTTGATCCAAAATTCTACTGTTACACTTAACAGAAACCATCACACCTTGGAAATAAAAAGTAATTCACGTACATGACAAAATTTCCTGACTTCTAGGACTTCCATTCCCACTCCTAGAAATAACTGTCATAAAAACTGTTCGTGTATTCTTCTGAAATTTCTATATATGTGTATACACATACACAAATGTACAAACAAGCATATATGTGGAACTATAACAATTTTTAACTACAAATATGACCTTTTTTATTATGCCTTGTCTTTTTTTCTCATGATATATTATGGACTCCTTTCCCATTTCTAAGGAGCTCTAGTGGTGTAGTGTGTAAGGCATTTGTCTGTTAACCAGGTTAGCAGTTCAAATCCACCAGCTACTCCACAGGAGGAAGACGGGGCAATCTACTTCCATAAAGATTTACAACCTTAGAAACCCAATGGCGGGTGATATGAGTTAGAATCGACTTCATGGCAGTAAGTGTGGTATTTTGATTTCCTTGTTTATACACAAAGCTCTACCTTATTCGTTTAATAGCTGCTTAGTATTCCATTGAATGGACGCATTTTCATTTATTTAACTAGTCTGATTAATATTAATACTCATCTAGGCTTTTTTCATCCTTTTGCTACCAAAAATAATACTGTTAACAAACATCCTATACACCTGTCTTTTACATATATGCACAAATATGTCATGGATAAGAAGTTTAAATTAATTTCTCCCTAAACTAATGTACAGATTCAGTGAAATTCCAATAAAATTCTCAATTGGTTTTTTCATTAAACTTGAAGCTTATTCTAATTTTTTGGAAGGGCAAACAGTAAAGTAAAGAAGACAGTGTGGAATTGTACAAGGATAGAAAAATTAGAAGGACCAGAAACAGACCCCAACATACATATATGAAAGCTTTATATATGACATATATGGCAATGAAAATCAATGGAAAAAAAAACTCAATAAATGGTGCTGGAACAATTAGATGTCCTTATTTGCCGGGGGCGGGGGGGGACACACACGACTGGATCCTTATCACACAAGAGTGTGATTAAGGTGATGATCCAGGAGATCATAAAAAAGTGGCACACTAAAAATTTTATTACACAGTAACTAAATTACGTAAGACCATGTAACTAAAATCAATTTGTAGAGAAACAAACATAGCTATTTCTATAATTTTTCAAATGTTCAACATATACTCCTGCATTTATGGCACACATCAATCCTGTAACCTAATTGTCTCAGAACCTTTTATAGCATATGGATGTTAAAAATCTACTCCTACACACCTAAAGAAACTATTGCCAGTGAGTATCAGGGGATAAGAATGTTCATACTTGCAATATGCCTAACAACAATACTAGCAAATAAACAGCCTTCTCTAAATTGAGTATTTTCTACATTCATTTGCTAGGGATGACTGTGTTTAAGAGTTGCTGGAAGAAAAGTTCCCAGATGATCTAGAAGGTTTTGTTTTCTCCTCAACCCCAAAAGTAGTAGTAGTAAAGATTCAGGACAGAGAGCTTTAATTTCCATCCTTAGATAATAATGACTCTCAAATCTTATTTCCAGTCCTGAACTCTCTCTGAGCCTCAGATCCAGAAACAATTATTTGAAGAGACACTCAGTGAGAAATTTCTGAATCTTTCAAAAACATTAACCATAGATTCAAGAAGATTATAAATGACATCATACTAAAACATAACATAATAAAACAGCTGAAAACCAAAGACAAATGCAACAATCTTTCTAAATGGGGATGATGGAAACTAGAAAACTGTGGGGTACATCTTTAAAAATGTTGAAAGAAAATAAAAATAATAACTTAGAATTTTATGGTCAACAAAAAAATCCTTCACAAATGGAGAAAATAAAACCTGTCTTGAGATAAACAAAAACTGAGATTCACAGACAACAATAATAAAAAATATAAAAACAGAAGTACAATGATCCCATATGCAAGAATAGTAATAAATAAAAGATTAAGGAACATAAAAAAGCATGAATAGGTGGGTAAATCTAAATGAATATTGACTGTTTAAAATAATATTGTGAGATTTTAAACATATATAATAAAGTTAAAATTCATGACAACACAAGTTAAGATATGCATAAATGGAGTAAAAGTGTTGTAAGATCTATGCACTGTCCAGGAAATGCTAAAATATACCAATTTAAGGTAGATTCCAAGGAGACAGAAATGTTGTAATCTCTAGGATAATCACTAAAAATATGACCAGTTATATTATTAATAAGCTAAAAGAGGCAGGGAAATTGAGTAATTTAATAAAATTAAGTAAGCCAATGAAGAAAAAAAGGAAAACAACAAAGCCCAACTATTTGCTGTTTGAAAAAGGCATCATAATATAAAACACAGTAATGCTGAAAGCAAAAGAATAGCAAATATACCTACCATGCAAATGCTAACAAAAGAAAACTGATTTAACTACACTGTTGTTGTTGATGTTATGTGCCGTCAAGTCAGACCCAATTTGTAGCAATCCCTTTGGGCTTCTGAGGCAGTATCACTACAGAAGAAGATTGCGAAACCACACTAGTACCAAATAAAATAGACTTCTGGGCAAGAAATATTACTAGAGATAAAGAAGGGGTATTTCATAATGACAAAAGGGTCAATTCAACAACAACAACAAGGTAACAACCCTAAAATTACATGCAATACAACACGGCCTCAAAATACATAAAGCAAACAGCTGATGAAACTAAAAGGAGGTAACACTATGATCACCGTTGGAGATTTTTAAACACATCTTGCTCAGTTATTAAAAAGAAGATTAAAAAAAAAATCAAGAATATAGAAGATTTCAATATAAATTGTTCAACAAAGGTGATTTAAATATATAGAAAGAACACTAAGGACTAAGAATACACATTCTTCTCAAGAGTATATACAACACTGATCATAACGATGGGTCACAAACCAAGTCTAAATAACTATTAAAGAAATGAAATCATACAAAGTATACTCTTTGACCAGAAATTAGTAATAAAAACATAATTAGAAAATCCCAAATGATTAGAAATCAAACATACTTCTGAATAATAATGAAAATACAGGATATCATCATTTTGCCAATGATAATTAATGAAGTAGGATGGTATATGGTAGTTCATTCCACTATTCATTCTACTTCTGGTATGTGTGAAATGTTCCATAAAGAGGGGCAAAAAATATAAAAATATATCAAGTCTTATAAAATGTTGGTAAAGTTGTGTTTACATGAAATTTATAGCCTTAAATATGTATGTTAGGGGAAAAAAGGCTAAAAAAATCAAGGATCCAAGTATTAACCCCAAGAAGTATCTACTGTAAGAAGCTAAACTCAAAGAAAGTGGGAAAATAAAATAGCAGAAATCAATGAAATAAAAACAAAGTGAAAAGCAAAAAATCCTTAAGTTAAATCACTGAAAAGGCTAATAAAATTGATAAACCCCTAAGCAAGAAATAGAGAAAGTACATATTTCTAATATCAGGAATGAAAAAAGGGCTAAGTAAATCCTTATGCCAATAAACTTGAAAATTTCAATGAAATGGACAATATTCTTACCAAACACAACTTGTCATAGCTGACACAAAAAGAATTAGAAATCTGAATGGTGCTGTTTCTGTTAAAGAAATTGAATCTATAATTAAAAATCATCTCACAAAGAAAACACCAGACCCAGATAACTTAACCAAGGAAGACTAGCAAACCTTTGAGAAAAAGTAACAACCGATCTTAAACTCTTTCACAAACCACAAAAAGGGAATACTGCAAAACTTGTTTTTATGAAACTAGGATAACCTTGATATATCACAACGTCTGATGTGATTATTAAGAAAAGGAAATTATATGCTAATGTCTTTTATAAATAGATCAAAATTCGAGATGAAATATCAACAAGCCAAATCCAATTTTTCATGTGCATGTATATACATGGATATGTATATGTGTGTGTATAAAGAATATTGCATGACAATAAGGATGGTTTATTCTAGGACTGCCAAGTTGCAAACTGACTGTTCTAATTTACCTATCAATAGAATAGAGGGGAAAAAACCCAAACCAGTTCATTTCAATTACTGTAGAAAAAGCATGCAATACATGTGATGGAATCGCAATCAAAATTCTGAAGTTTTGTGGATAATGATAAGCTGATTCTAATATTTGTATATGTTAAGAACAAAGAAAATCTCAAAAGATAAATTTGATGGACTTAACTATGAAATGTAGAATTATTATAAAGGGATTACTTAAAAGGCTAAGGAAACAAGAGAGATCAGAAAAAGATCCAGAAATATCAAGTCACATGACAAAACCGACACTGTAATACAGTTTCAGAAAACATGTGCTTTTCAACAGATGGTACAGGATCAAGTGATTATACAAATGGAGAAAAAAAATAAACCATGACCCTCCCATCTTGTCACATATTCTTCAATTAAAAAAAAAAAAAAAAAAAACTCACTGCTATCAAGTTGATTCCAACTCATAGTGACTCCCTGTGGGTTTCTGAGGCAGTAAATCTTTATGAAAGTAGATTGCCCAGTCTTCCTTCCGCAGAGTGGCTGGTGGGTTTGAACCGGGAACCTTCTGGCTAGCAGTCAAATCTTGAATAGTTTAGGCATATATAGAAAAAAATCCCTCATCCTCCTAATGAGTTCAATGTGACCCCCTTCTGGACTTGCACAGCACTATGAGCATGCATCTTTACCTCCCCAGAAACACATTTAGAACAGAGACCATGGAGCTATGGTAGTGTAGTACCTAAGGCATTTGACTACTAACCAGAGGGCTGGCGGTTCAAACCCACCAGCCATTCCTCAGAAGGAAAACTGGGCAATCTACTTCCATAGAGATACTGCCTAGGACACCCAAGGAGGGGATGCTATGAGTCGGGAGAGACTCCACGGCAGTGAGTTTGGTTTTTATTGTATCCCCAATTAAAAGCACAGCATTAGATATAGTATTCACATAATTAATGTGAATTTGTTGAATGGAATGCTTTCTCATACAGTTCATCTGATTTGTTTTACCATCTAGAGTGTAGGCAAATTTCCCTAACAAACTGCATATTTGAGTTCTTCGGGTCAAATTTTAATTGAGATGCAGGTGGGCTTTAGTCATGGTCAGTATGCTACTTGATTCTAATACATGTTATATGTGTAATTTATCAAGAATAATAAATTATTTAAAAATATTTTTTAACCACTTTGATTTGCCTTTGATTTTTGAGTATGGCATGAGCTCACACAGAGCAACAGTTATGAATGCCTATTTAACACCACCCCCATGACTTGTTACTATCACTAACAGAATTAGAGTTAAGCATAGTCTTCTGGTAGATTTAATTAATACCTGTGCATAAAATAGGGGTATGCCCTGTAATCAAAGTTTCATTTTTAGCTTAAGTTGGTTGCTTTAGAAAGCTGTGTACCTGGTACCCAATGGAAATGACTTCACCACATTGACTTTATAACTATATTCTCAGTTTTTGAGGCATGCTCTAAGAAACACTTAGGAAATTTGTCAGTGTATTTGCTACACTTGTGTTTGCTAAGATTTCCATTATCTCTCATGTGAGTTCTTACACATTAATGCTAGGGCAACTCTTGGTTCCCAAGAGGATAGACTGTTTTTACTTCCCAGATAAATGAGAATGTAA